CTGTCTGTCCGGGGTGGGGGTCGGGTCCCTTTAAGCACAGTCCTCGGCTAGCCTGAGGCAGCAGCTCCACGCTCTAAGTCCTCCTCTGATGCCCTGCCGGGACTGCTTCCGGCCATCCTTAACCCCGGTTCAGGGTCCACTTAATGTGGACATGCTAGTTCGAATTAGCAAAACGCTAATTCGAACTAGTTTTTTAGTCTTGATGCGTTAATTCGAACTAAGCTAATTCGAACTAACTAATTCGAACTAAGTTAGTTCGAATTAGCGCTGTAGTGTAGACATACCCTCTGATTCCAGGCTTGACTTGAGACTAGATAAGCCAAAAAAAATTAATTATTTAGAGGAATATATGGGAGTGTTTTTCTTCCTTCCCCATTCACCCTTTTATTGCCAGTCTGCTTTACATTATTAGACTATGGGGCTTTGCCCCTACCTTTGATTGCTCTTCTGTGGGAGGCATACTCTTTTTGACATTGTGATCTTTGTAAGAAACCAAGGCAGAGGCAGTGTAGCCTAGCAGTCACACCAGGTAAGGATGGACATAAGGTGGTAATCACTGAGCAGGGATCAGAGTAATTGCCAGAGTGAAGATTAATAAGCTAGAATCAGTCAGGCCAGGGATGGAGACCAGAGACCACAGGTAGTTACCAGGCTGGAATCAGGAGGTAAAAGTCAAGCTTAGAGTAAGGCTGAAGTTAAAGACCAGAGGTCAAGAACTAAGGTGCAGTTACAGCATGTCAGGAATATGCATGGTTACTAGACAGGGCACCCTCAAAGGTTTAATAGTGCACTTGGCCAATCAGAGGGTTTCAGAGTGCTTTAGATCCTTTTGGGTAGTACTACTGTGGTGTCTATTCTCCACAATGCTCCCAGTTGTGGCTTTCCATGCCAGGTGTCCCAGGCTCCAGAGACCCACCGGGTTGTAGTCCCACAGATCCTTATATACTCTCCAGTAAGCTGTTAGCCAAGGACATCTTGATAACATCATTACAGCATTGCTGAAATTGGCCCTTTTCTATCATAATTCCTTTGTGTGTTTCCTAAGATTATAAAAGCAAGTACAATATTTGGGTGAGTTTCTACCTTTGCTTACACCTCTACAACCCTATTGATTTCAATGGAAGCTGGATCTATGTAATGGAGAGCAGAATTTGACCCAGTGATGTGCTGATGATGTGTCTGATTCCTGACCTTCTGTAACTGCACCTTAATTCTTGATCTCTGGGCTCCAACTTCAGCCTTATTCTGAGCTTGATTCTATGTGCCTGAGGTATATGATTAATTTCTAAAATATTGTTACACCAGCTACCAGCAAAGTCTTTGTACCATATGATGTTGGTACAGCACCACAAAATCCACATATGCAAAAGGCAATGCTTGCATTTAGAATTCAAGCTCGTTCCTGGTATTAACATGCAAGGCTGTAAAAGCTAATTTGTAAACCCTATTTACAAACGAGCCCACCCAATCTTGCTACCATTCAATCAATTGGAATTTTGCCATTGATTTCAGAGGGAATAGGGTAATACCTTTGAGAATGCTGGGGCACAGCCACAGCGCTGACTTCTAAATACTTTCATAACTCTTAAGGAGTTGAATAAAATCAAATTAGCGACAGGCAAATGTCACTACGAAGTTATGAAATTCTGTAAACTTGTAATTATTATGCAAACTTTTCAGAACCTTTTTATTATGAGGCAAAAGGGTTCATGGCCTCTCCATCACCACATCCCCATTCTGGACCATTTTTAAATTAAACAAAATTCATGTTTTATGTAATCAGTTACCCTTCAAAATTCTTTCTTTACCATTGCTCCTGTGATTTCTTCATTTGAGGTAAATTAATGGGGACTTGAGAGTATTTACCCGGAAAAAAATACAAATGCCAACATCTTTGTCTTCCTTGTCTCAAAATCTGTAATTCCTGGATATATTTTAAATGAATAAAATCAAGTGTATTGATCAACTACAACAGTTTAGAGTAAAAAGTCCTTACCAATCTGATTATGATCTCATGTTGAAAGCACAAATGAAGATAAACTTTTAGGAATGTCCTGAGGTGCCAGTTAGATTTTAAAAATGAAATCTAATAAATTACATTTTCCAAGAAAATTTTATACCTAATATAGGAATGGAATCTAGTTAAGATAATTCCGTTTTCTTGAATTCAGATGGCATTACTAATATTAATTCAAGGTTCTTTTCACACCAACTTTTACTTTGGATAGTATTTCTCAAATCAAAACATGTTACTCTTAACCAATCAAGATTTTGGTAATTCACCCAGAACCACATATGTGTAAAATCAACAGTTCATCAATCAAGTATAGATACAGCCAATGTTCTAGGAATGTACTGAACACAAAAAGTTTGGTTTCTAAAGCTGGTTTGGATTGTAGATCTAGAAGGGAAGAATTCTGAATCGCAAGGCTGTGGTGGTGGGGAGCTGGCACAATGCAGCTTTTTGTTATTTATTTGTATTATAGTAGCATTTGGGACTCAGACATGGACCCACTGCATAGAGTTAATGCCACTGCAAGGTATAGTAGTGGCTTTAAAATTACTTTTTGTGGCTAATTGTTTTGATCCTTTAGTCTTATTGTTATTTCAGTTGTTCATAAATAACTTCTTTTTGAGAATTAATTATTTTGATGAGTGCATCTAACAGCCTTTTGTGACAGGAAATATTGCCAGCATTGGAAGAATTCCGGGATCAAATCAATCAATCCAAGGATGAAGTTAGCTGCTGCCTCATAGTTCTTATGAGTCATGGGAGGAGTCATGGCCTCATTCAGGGGAAAGATGGTGTCACAGTCGATCTTGATGATGTATTTGCACTATTCAACAATATACAATGCCCAAAGCTCCAAGAAAAACCTAAAATCTTTATTATTCAGGCATGCAGAGGAGGTGAGCACGACATTAAATATTTATTTGCCGGAGTAGTATTGAATTTCAGCCTCTTTCTATGAAGATTTCCTTTCAGGTCTCTGCAAAGTATCTACAGTGTGTATTATTAAATCTAGTCCTGTGACTTCAGCAGTCCTCTGTATTATTGTGTTACTGTTGAAAAACTGGATGCACTCCTGGTTCTGGTTTCTCAATCTTGAAGCATCCAGCATTGAAAATAGCACAGAGGATAAATATTCCACCGACAGGGGGCAGCAATGAATTGTGACCACTAAAAGACATTTGAAAAGTGCCAAAATGAATCTAACTTGTTCTTCTAACCCAGCAGAATGGGTGCAGGTGACAGGAGCCTCAAAGGTAGCAAAACTTATGTAGTAGAAAATAGCACACAAACTCACAACAAACCCCTTCCACATAAAAAAGGTACACAAGGCCTGACTTCAACTAATGCCTGCTCTTATTGGGCAGTCTCTTGGTTCAACAGTTTGCCCCCACGGTATCCTCAAGGGTATTGAATACAAATCTCCATCTGCTTAGAAAAGCCAGCTTTAGGGGTGGGAGTGTTTCAGTCCCTTGAATAGCCCCATTTAAATAATGAAATTCTTGTGAGTGAGGATTTGCTATATTCAAGATACAATATTCCACAAGTGCAGTTTTATCACAACTGATACACAGAATGAGAAATAATACACTCATTTTTGAATAGGAGGCTGTGCAACCTAATTATTAAAAAAAAATTAGGTACAGGGGTCAGGGTTCCAATAGGCAAGCAGGTTTATAGGATTAATGGGCTCAGAGAAGCACCTACAAGTTTAGATACCTAGCTGAAAATTATTTTAATGATTGAAAGCTCCCAAGAACAGGCCCTTTTGAGGGAAAGATGTAACAAAAATCTGACTCTACCTGAGTGCAGGGTGGTTTCAGGTATTTGTGCAAGTCAAACATCAGCCAAGCTCCACACTTGTGTACAACTTGAGCTGTTG